GAATGCCCATGGATCCTGGGCCACTGCTCTTTCCCACCCAACTCCCAGCCTCCTGGGATGGCACACCTTTGAGCTCATGGGCAGAGCGCAAGTCCCCTCTGCAGGAGGCTGACAGCCTGTGACATTAGGGACAGGGCCACAGTTACCATTTTGTTCCCATGACCTGTAGTTATTGAGCTGAATCTCCCTCCATATCTATTCATTTCCCCCCTCATGAATATGCACATGGTTGACACTTTGTAAATTGGCTGCTGGGGAAAGAGTGTCAGGGAGCCCCATGGAAAAGGGGACCTTGGAATCAGAGTTGAATGGCAGATAAGGGGTGACCTTGACCACCTGCTGCCTGGACCAGCTGGAACTTTTTTTCTTAATATATTTAAATAGAGTCAAGATTGGGGTCAGCTTCGTGCACAGAACCTTTTTCAGCTTTAGCGATGACTGCACAGCTTCCGGAGCATAGCATCCACGTGGATGTGCAACGCTGGACGGCAGTTGTCATTGTTTGGTGCCAGTGCCTGGTCACTGGAGTTCACTGTGTGGGTCGCATGTCCTCAGAGGAGGGACAGTCACAGAACTGGAGCAGCACTGGGTCCCTTGATGCTGCCAAGGTCTTCAAAGGATAATGTTTCAGCTTCTCTCCCTGGACCTTCCTCATCCCCCTATGCCTTCTTTTTTGGGGTATCTCCCCCAAGTGAACCCCTCATGCCTCCCCTCCCCTGCCATCTAGTGCAGATGGTTTCCAAATCCAGAGTGCCAGCCTCAGCTTCCCTCCAGAGCTCTGGGATCGCACTTCCTTTCCTTTTCCACTATTACCGTTTGCTGTTTACAAAAGCAGTAGGTGTTAATGGCATAAATTTTAGGAAGTATAAACAAGCACAAGAAAGGAAAGAATGAGCTGTTGACAATCCAACACCCCGCGACAGTCCCCGAATCCCTCTTCATCACACTAAGCATGAATAGGTTTTAATTTTCAAAATGCAATCGCTCTATCTGTTCTACTCCCACGTGTTCTTCTCAACCCACAGCTTATCGTGGTAATATTCCTGTGTTATTAAACACTCTTCCACAACATTTAAAAGGCTGTGTAGCCTGCACTCAGTCAATGTTCATGTAGTCACTTGTGCTTTGTGGAACCTCTAAGTCGACTCCTATTTTTTGCCATTAAATACTGCTTTCACAAAATTCTTATAGCTACACGCTTATGATTATCCATGATTCTTTCCTTAGGATATACTTAAAAAATGGAATTATTGGGCTAACAGATTTCTGCTTTTTTGTCACTTTTACTGAATTTTATCAAACTACCCTCCAAAAAGTTCTCACTAGAATTGTACGAAAGTACTTATTTTTCTGCAGCCATTAAAAATAGAGTTTTAGCAGTTTTGGGGGGAGCTACGCTTATTTGGTATTTAAGAATTATAACTTTTTTGCTTTAATTTAAAGTTACCTGATTTCTAAACAGGTTAAATATTTTTGCCAGATGTCAACTTGCCATTTGTGCTTATTCTCATGTGAATTCGCTATAAGCTCCTTTGTCCAGTGTTAAATCGGGGATGTTCTTCTTTCTCTCATTGGTTTGTAAGAGCGCTCTCCATATTAAGGATATTAACCTTGCCTGTTGGGGATGGTAGAAATGTACTCTCAGTTTACCACTTGCCTTTTAATTTGGGTTGTAATATTTATTGACTGGGACTGCACTGCTGTCTGCTTGCTAGACATCTTCTCTTACATGACGCAATGGCATTGCACACTTCACATATTGAGATTTAAACTCATCATTTCCCTGGCCACCCTGCCCTTCCTGCCCTTCCTGCCGGCTGGCTTGTTTCTATTGATGCACCACCGTTTTCCTGGTCCCCCAGGCTGGAACTGTTGGAGGCATCTCTGGTTCCTGATATGCCATCAGTGGCCAGCTCCCAGAGCTTTTCTTTCTGTGGCTTCTCTGGCAGGCAGCCTACTTACACAACAGTGCTTCAGATCCCCATTATTTTTTGACTGAACTTTGCAAATAGTTTCATAAGTTCATGCCTTGCCTCCCCGATGCCAGGGCTGCCACTCCTCCTTTCTCCTCCTTGCCCCTGTGGGACACTGCATCACATTCATCTTCCTAAAGTAGAGCTCGAACATAGACCTCCCTGCTTAAAAGTAGCCAACAGCTCCCCACTGTCCTGTTTATTTAATTACATCACAGCCTGGCCATGATTTCCCTTCAGCCGAATCTCCCACTATCTCCGCCAAGTTGCTCCCCAAACAAACTCACTGCTTTCCTTCCCCTTTACCTCTTTGCTCAAGCCATCCCCTCCTCCCAGAGTCCTCCCCACCACCTCCACCTACCAAAATTCATTCAGAAAGCTCCCCACCCCACTCACTGCTGCCATCCCAGGCTTTTCTGACTCTTTAAGTGGAAATGAATCTCTCTTCTTTGAGCCCCCAGAACAATTTACTTGAGCTTCTCTTGTAAAACAAACCTTATTCCATCATCCAGTGGAGCCTCAAAGGTCTTATGCTCCTGCTAGATGACAGAGTGCTTTGAGGGCACTGTCCTGTACATCTGCTTCCCCCACAGGACCCGCACGGCGCCTCGCCGCAACAGGTGCTCACTAGGGATTTGTGAGATGAAAAGCGCCACCCACGCAGCTGAATGCCCAGGGATCCTGGGCCACTGCTCTTTCCCACCCACTCCCAGCCTCCTGGGACGGCACAGCTTTGAGCTCATGGGCAGACTGCAAGTCCCCTCTGCAGGAGGCTGACAGCCTGTGACATCAGGGACAGGGCCACAGTTACCATTTTGTTCCCATGACCTGTAGTTATTGAGCTGAATGACCCTCCATATTTACTCATTTCTTTCCCTCATGAATGTGATGGGTGCATGTGGTTGATGCTTTGTAAATTGGCTGCTGAGGAGTCTCAGGGACCCCACGGAAAAGGAGACCTTGGCATGAGTTGAATGGCAGTTAATGGGTGCAAGAGGCAGACCCCTTTGACCTTGACCACACGTGCTGCCTGGACCAACTAGGACTTTTTCTCTTAATATATTTAAATAGAGTCAAGATTGGGGTCAGCTTCGTGCACAGAGCATTTTTCAGCTTTAGAGGTGACTCTGCAGCCAGCACGGGAGTGTGCAATTGACAGTCTATTTTTAGCCTCCCTGAGACCGTGACCAACATCCCAAGCTGAGGGTGGGCACACCTGCTGCATTCTAATGAGGCAGCCCGACTGCCTGTGCCAGCCCGGGATCTCGCCGACCTGAAATCCGATGTTGCTAAACTGGGAAGCCTGCTTATTTCCCAGAGGCTGTAGCCTAGATACACCAGGAAAATGGGACCATCGCATCCCCCTGCTGACTCCCCTCCAGCCCCTGGCGGTCTTGGGGTTGTGCCCACAGCATGATAAAGGGAAGAAGCCACTAGTGTTTTCTTTATCTTGCTCTGTCCTAGGAAAGGAGGTAGGAAGTCTGAGGTGACCCAGCTCACAGATGAGAAAAATGAGGCAGAGAACAGGGACATGTTTATGTAATCTGAATATTAATAATAATAATAACAATTAAACACTTATTATATGCCAGGCAGTGTTTTAATATCTTTACTTATATCAACTCATCCAAATTTCTGGACAACTCCATTGGGTAGTTTTTATTTTGATCTCTGCTTACAGAGGAGGAAACTGAGGCACAGTGATGACAAAATGACTTCCCAAGGTCATTTGTCAGCCAAGTAGCAGGGCAGGGTTTGAAAGCCAGGCAGTGTGGCCCCAGGGTTTGCATTCTTGCACTGTGCTGTCTGCCTCTCAATGCCCCAGACAACCAACCACTGCATACGACTCTGTTTTTAAAGATGCTTCCGCTCTGAGGCCTGTGCTGTGCTGTGCACACCTGCATTTCCTCCACTCCAGGGAGAGGAGGCTCTTCCCCTAGCAGACTGTGCCTCTGTACTCCACTCCAGGGAGAGGAGGCTCTTCCCCTGGCAGACTGTGCCTCTGTAGTGAGGCTTAAACTTCTGGGCCCAGAAGTTCTCCAAGCTTCTATCTCCTTCTCCCTCCTCCCCTTGGTCTGTGGGAGTGGCGGGGGGTCAGTGCTGGGCAGCAGCAGTGGCTGTGCAGCTGGGCCGGGTGTCAGGACTGGGAACCCAGAAAGAGCGGTGCCGGTGGTGCCCGGGCAGGTCACCGAGGTGTGGTCTTCACAGTTCAGACCAATTGCTGAAGTCCAGAGCAACCACGAATCAGAAACCAGAGTGGGAGGCAGCAGGTGTGAGGCCCAGAACCCAGGAGACCTGCATTTTGGGGGCCAAGTGCTGCCTGTTGGGTGGAGAAAGGCCCGTGGGTGTGATCTTCCTAAGGGGGCAGGTGAGACTCATTTTAACTTAATAAACACTCAGTGTGCCGGCCTTTTCTAAGCCTTTTACAGACACCAATGTGTCGAATCCTCAGGACAACTCTAGATGATGAGAACCATTTTATTCCCACTTTAGATGTGGGGAAACTGAGGCACCAAGAGGCTAATCACTTTGCTCAAGGTAATAGGGCTAGTGCGTGGCAGAGCAGGATTCATGTTCCGGGAGACTGGCCCTGGAATCTCCTCTCCAGCCACCATGCCGGACATCTTTCCCTTTATTAAATGTTTACTATTCGACTCTAAAGAATGGTATTGTCCTCATTTAATGGAGATGGGAACTGGGGCCTGGATGGGCTCAAGTCACCTGACTAGCAAGAGATGGAGCTGGGTTAAACCAGATCTGTTTGGCTCCTGAGTAGCATGGCACCTCAGCCATCAGCGTGACTGCCAGAAAGCTGGAAGGCACCACACGCCTCAGGAGTGGCCGTGTGGATCACTGGCACCCACCCCTTAGGAGTGGCCGTGTGGATCACTGGCACCCACCCCTCAGGAGTGGCCGTGTGGATCACTGGAGCGGGCCTCAGGGACCAGGAAGGGAGGAGGGGAAAAATCTCAGAGGGCAGGGCCTCGCTGCCACTGTTCACACCAGGCTCCCTTTTTTCGTCCTCAGGTGAGCAGTACCCCCTCTCAGCCCCCTCAGCCTGTGGTCCCATCCAAGCCTGTGCAATGTGTCCATCATGTGTCCACTCAACCCAGCTGTCCAGGACGGGGCAAGATGTCCAAGCTGCTGAACCCAGAGGAGATGACCTCAAGAGATTATTACTTCGACTCCTATGCCCACTTTGGGATCCACGAGGTAAACCATCCTGAGCTGGTGGCCGAATGGGGCAAGCTTGGCCCTGCTGTTCCATCACTGTTCTCTGAGGCAGCATGTGCTCAACTCTCCACTGTCATGAAGTGAGTTCTCCCAGTGGTCCGAGGCCCCTGATTCTCTCTCCATCCACGAGTCTCTCTGGGAGGGGGTCAGGGCCAGGCCTGGCGCAGGTGAGTGGGTGAAAGTGTGTGTCTGTGTTGCTTGGCTGGTGAGCAAGGAGAGCTCAGGGCCTCCATTTTACAGCCCGACACCTGTGTCTCTTCCCGGTCCTCAGTTCAGGTGGTCCAGGTGGACTGAACATCCTTGGTCCTCACTCCAGGAGCTCAGATGCTTTGCAGCTAGGGTCCTATAGCCAAAGGCCTTCTGGAGGTCATGGTGTTGGCCTTCAGGAAGGATGGACATGAATCCTTAGGTTGGTCCTGGACCAATGAGTGCCTCCAGGGAAGAAATGCAGCAAGTGTCCATGGAAACCTGGCCCAGGTCTGGCACCCTGATTGATTCTCAGGAAATTCCTTTGTGTAAATGCTTGTCTTCATCCATAGCAGGGCAGACTTCTGTGAGCTGCAGCATAGAACGGAGCTTCCTGACAAGAGGCTTCCTGATACCTGTACCCCCGGCCCTGCCTTCATCACCTTTTAACACTTTCAAGCCACCCCAAATAAACGACTATATTAACTGCGTGCTTACTGTTCTAAGCACAGTATATGTATCATTTCATTTATCCTTCCTAAGAACCTTAGGAAGAAAATATTTATATTATCTCCTCACGGTCTGTATGTCTCAAAGCTCTGCCTTCCAATTAGATGCTTCTGTAAACCCTTCCTGTATCAAAAAGGCTGCACTGCCATTGCCAGGCACATGTTTAGTAATAATAACCGGCATTTTTCTTGAGTGCTTACAACAACCTGGCTGTTGTTCTGGGCATTTTATATTATTGGCTCATTTATTCCTCAGGTCAATCTTATGAGGTTGGTATTATTATCTGTCTCCATTTTATAGATGAGGATATAAGACCTTAAGCATCAGATCGACCTTCGTTCATCCTTGCTGGTTCCTTTGCACACAAGGTTATAGGCTAATAAATGGCAGAGCTAGAAATTAAACCTTCACATTTTGGGCTCAGGCACTTCATTCCTAACTACGTAGCCATACAGCTTCTAAAACAGTTCACTCTTTCTGGAAATGTTGACGTTGTTCCTGCTGGCTCCTTTGCAATTCCATGTTGCGGTAGAGAGTGGATGTAGGGTCTCTCCATTACTGCTAGACTTGGGCTCAGCCTGGGGAGACACAAGGTTTGGCCCCCTGAGAATTCCTCTCCACATAAAGGCTCCGGCCTGGGGTGCGGGCCTGGCCCAGGGAGGCCTGGGCAGTCAAGCTTGCCTCTCTTGGTGGATCGAATGCCCTCTCAGGGCAAATGGGTGAGTTGTGTCTACTGTGATCCTCTTTCCGTGGGACCCAGGATTGGGATGGTGCATGTGCGGAGCCCTGACCTGGGCCTGTGAGAGGCTCTGAGAGGCAGAAAGGACTCGTTCAAGAGCTTCGCTCCTCAAGGTCCCTTGGCTAATTAAAGGATGTGCCTTCCATGTGGTCAATTTTAACAGGCCCACAGCTCTGAGCACCTGTATCAGGGGAGAAACTGTAGTCCCAGGGGCCCTGATGTGCTCCCCTTGGGGCTTTCTGAAATCCCTCCTGACGGAAACCAACCCTCCACGATGGGCATTCAACTCCCCACCCATCTTTAGGCTGCGCTCCCCCACGGAGCCTCCTCTGATTGACTTCTCCGACACCTCCCTCTGAATTGCTAAGTTCTTGCTGGGCAACACTTTGGCACCCAGGATGTGCTCTCCTGGGCTACTGTTAATCTCTGTAATTCTTCAGGTCTTGGTTCCTCAGCCTCTAACCAGTGTTTGGCACATCATCTGATTGGCAAAGGTTTATTGACATGCCTGCTAGCTTCATCACTCAGGTGATGCCTGGCCAGCACCACGGCCAGGCATCCAGCAGGGTACGATCTCCATTGAGAGGGGACACCAAGGGTCATCAAATAAATATTATAGTATGTCTCCTCAATTTCATGTATTGATAGAAAAATCAAATTTGTAAATGAACATATATAAACAGTGTAGACTGAGCTAATTAAGTTGGAGTAAGGGATCTGCAGGTCATAGATAACATGTCTTTCCTTAGTAACCTACCCTAGAATAGTTAGCAATCCTTCACATGAGAAAGTACTTCTGATCATCTAGCTTAAGTCCCTCCTCCTGCTGCTGCTGTCCATCTCTAGATCCTGGCCTCAGGGAAACACAAAGGTCTGTAATGCAGGGTTGGCTTCTTGGCCTTTCTTCCTAGTTGAAGCTTTCCCTCCACCCTGTTTTTGGTCTCTGGTAGGAAATGAGTGGATGGACTCTTTACATTGTTCTTCAAGGAGAGAGGGCCTGCTCATTTTTTGTTATCAAACGCCAGGGATCTCAGTTCTGTGGCAGACGGCTCACAGCGATGCCTTTGCCTCCTCAGTCTGGGCAAGACCCATATCTCACCATCCGGAGCCGAGCTGGCCGTTTGGCAGTCTTCTCCCGTCATTAACAAGATGCTCACAGGGCAGGCAGCAGCACCGCCAGCTTGCTGATTAATAGTGATCAGTGAGTGTTTAGGAAACATGGTGCTTGGATTTGATGAGTCGGCAAATACAAAGGAGAAGCACTGCGTTTGGGGAAGGACACTGTTGGGGTCTAGAGAGCACAGCAGGAGGTGGTCTGGACACTTCTGTTCTTCCATCTCATGACTCCATCCAGAGAGGACTCTGTACTCAACCTTCAGAGGGTGGGATGAGGGAGAGGGCCCTGTGGCCTTCCGACACAGAGCCCCTCTGAGAAGAATGGAATCTTGAACAGGAGCAGAAGTGACAGATGTCTGCCTACTGAGGCATTTGCTCAGAGTGGAGAGGGCCAGCTCTGTGACCTCCCGCAGCCCTGCTCTGAATTCTCAGCATCTTTGACAGGCGCTGGGCGTGGTGCCTCAGCTGCCTGCCAGTGGGGCTGTGTTGCCAGCCCCTGCACCCTGGGCGCCCGTCCCACTCCTGGCCAGCTCAGTTCTTTTGACAAGCTTGCTGCAGTTTCTTTTGAAACATTCTTCAAGACCTAATTTCTCAGCAATTAGTCAATGTGCTGTCATGTGTTTAACAGGCAAGAAAGCTGGGAGACAAAGTCATCTACAGCTGGAGCTGGGAATTGTTCTCACCAGAGTGGCATGCTCTGTCTGAAACGTTTGAGGCCTCTTTGGGTCGTTCTCTCCCAGGGATGACTAAAGCAGGGGTGGAGGAGGAAGAGCCTTTACTTTGGGCAGGCCTAGTGGAGGGAGATTTGCTAAGTCACAACTTTCCTTTTCTAAGAACTTGTATCTTTGAACCTAACTCCTGTGGTCTGGAGCCTAAAGAAGGGAAGAAGGGACCAAAGAAGTGACAAAAGGCAATGAATTAAAGGGGAGGAGGCACTTGGGCAGCTCTGCTTCAGTAACAATAAGATCTGCAGAGGTATTGGGCCAATCAAATTCCATCAGGAAAGGCTGTGAGGACTTTTAACCATAACTGTGAGTGAGAGATTTCTGAAATATTTGCCATTATTTTTGCTCCATTCTCTGCTCACCTCTAACAATTTCTTTGCATGGATGAAAAGGGTTATCATCACAAAAGGCCAGAGCTAACACTTATATAATCCTTACTATATTTATTTAACCATCACAACAACCCTATGAAGTAGGCGCTCTTATTACCCCATATTCCAGATGGGGAAATTGAGATACAGAGGCTGAATGATGACCTGGATCAGAGAGCTCAAAAGCATTAGAGCTATGATTCAAATGTAGGAATTCTGGCTCCACTATACTCTACTGTATTCCTATTTATAGAGCATGGGTTATGCACCATGCCCTGTGCCTGGTTCTGGGGAAACCATCTGCAGTCTGTGGTCTCACTGTGAGGTCTTGCAGTTTTGATGTCTAGAAGTCTTGGAGTGTTTGGTCCCAGACATCTCTGGGAGGGAAGGGCTTGAGCTCACTTTCAAATAAGTTAAAGCCAAAAGTAAACTCAATCTAAGTAAAACCCTTCCATACTCAAATTCTAGTATGATCAAATATATGAGCTCTGAAGCAGCACAGGAAGTAGTGGCTCCACTGAAAAGCAAATAGTACAAGATCTTTTAGTCCCTGTGATTAAATTCTCTAACAGAAGGATTAAAGCCACAAACCCATCCCAAACTTGCTCAACTCCTGATTGGATTGAACTGAGCAGCCCATCACTCTAGCTGCCTAACAAAGGAAAAAACAGTACTTTTTGGAAAAGACAACAACAATAAAAACAGCTGGTAATGTTTCTTACACATTATCTACAGCATAAAATAATTATTATAAGATGTGCAGAAATAGGAGAATTTGGTTAATAGTCAAGAGGAAAATTAATCAATAGAAACAGACATATAAACAGCCAAGGCCTTGGAATTATCAGAAAAACACTTTAAAATAACTATAATAAATATGATTTTTAAAAAATCTCCAAGAGAAGATGTTTATAATAGATGAAATTCTACAATAAAAGTACAAGATCTAAACCAGATATTTATTGGATGAGATTAATAGCAAATAGAATACATAGAAAGAAAAGATCTATGAACTTAAGGACAGATCAGTAGAAATCACCCATAAAAAGTAAAAAAAAATTGACAAAAAGCTCAGTGATTTGTGGGACAGAAACAAGTGGTAAAACATGTGAGTTCCAGAGGAGAAGAAAAAGAATAGGAAAGAAAAATATTGGAAAAAGTATAGGAGGATAAATTTCAAAAAGTGATAAAAAACTTAGTTTGCTCAAGCAATGAAGCCACATCTGAAACAACTGGAATTACCACCTGATTATGTTTATGATAATCCCTGGTCATTCTCTAAGATCCATCTCTGTCTTCTGCATCGACCAAATAGGCACACTGAATGGGGAT